TCCAAATAACAAATGCCACGTGTAGGGCTCGAACCCAAACAGTTGACTTACAGCCCTGGTAACTGATCTACCATATTCTTTATCAAACTTTTGATCCATCCTTGTACCGAGAGCCTGTACAAATGTCACTGAAGGCCATCCAAGAAGGCCAATGACTGTGTATCTGATAAATCTGATAGTCGAGTCAACATCCCATGTCGACAACCTCTAGAGCTCAGCCGAGATTTTCGATTTTTTATATTTCTATACACTTTCATATGATTTGTCGTCATGCGGGACTGTTGTGCTACTTTTATGTTCGCGTTCTCTAATCCATTGAGGAAGGACTCCTTTATATATGAGAAACCATCTTATGTGGAGGAGGTTTACAGACACACACAGCCTAGACCAACTCACCCTTAGAATATGGTTCTCTAAATATAACTGTTACTTTGTGGATATTATGTAGTGAACATGTAGTTAGGTACTCGTAGGTACTATTCTGTGAAAAATATCTGTAATGTTATTCAAATTATGTCAGTCAAAAATATATTTAAACTATGAATAATAACCTACTTTGTGCATACTGCTAAGGAGTGGAATTCTTTGCCAGAGTCTGTATTTCTTGAAGGGTATAACCTGGGTGTCTTCAAGGCCCGAGTGAATAGGTTGTTTATAGGACAACGTGCTCCATCGTAGACCGCATCATTGCTTATCACCAGGCGAGATAGTGGACAAACCTCGGCCCATCAAATATAAAAACGAACAATGACTATTTTTGCAGAAATACTCAGCTAAAATGCATCTAATGTGTATTAGGACATAGATAGGGGCCCCTATCTTATTAATATGTATACAAAAGGACCTTGGATACTTAGTTTTAAAATATACAGTAAATTGTTTGACACCATTGCGCTATTCAGGTTTCTGGCACTGGGTGCCCTTAGCCGGTTATAATTTAATACGAATCGAGTTTAACCTTAAACGTAGATTACCTTAACTATCGGGCAAGTTAATATAAGTACATTGTGTAACGTAATATGTTAGTAAAACATACAAAATTACGATATAATTCATCGTTAGTAAAGATGACGTTATAGGATTTTTGTGTTTTAATCGAATACAAGATTGTAAACTTCAACTGGAGGGTAATGATGTCGTTAATTTTTGTCAAATTGATGTCATCCACTTACTGTTTGTAAATGCACCCACAATATAGTACAAAATTGTAGTATGCAGAAATAATTTATTATCCTTTCATTTAGATATTCCATTTCGCATATAATTAAAATTATATCTTCTGATCCTTTAAGGCATGCTTGTCATTCATGCATGTATGTGAACTCAGTCTTTTCAGAGTAGGTACATGCACTAAGACACCACTCGACGCGGAACCTGCATTTAATAGTGTTATTACGGTCATCCGAGCAATTAAGATTAACTTAATTGTCAATAAACCAGTTCATTCATATTATTAATGTCATTAACTTATCAATTACATATACTTAATCTCATAATAAAAAAGTTTCGTCAATATTATTTATGTAAAGGCATATTAAGAGCTGTTCCCCTGACTCCCTTCAGTTTAATTTATTAGAAGTATTAAAACAAGACCTTAATCAAAAATATTGTTTGTACCATAAACACGACTAGACTATCATAGACAAACAAATGACAATCACAAAAGTTATCACGTTGACGCAGCAGCCATGACAGAGTTATCCTTGTACAATTTACGACAAAAGCCTTTTGAACAAATAAATCAACGAAAAACGTCACTGTGAACAAATAATAACTTAAACTAGTTACGTAGTTTAGTACGATTTTAAACAATAGTCGTGTTATGTACAAAGAGACACAATGATTATTGTAAATAGTTGTAAAAGTGCATTTAGATAAACTTTCTTGATGTATTACTTCTTGTACATAGGTAATATACTCATTAATGAGTTCCTCTTTAGTTTCTGGGTTGAATGAACCGATCCAATAAACAAGGAAAGGTTGTGGAAGGTGATCAACAGCATAAAGTTACCGGAAAAATTCTTATTTTTCATGAAAATGTACGATGGCATTCAAATGAATAGAATGACTCAAATTCCTAAATGTATTCATTGACGTTCACTCTAAATTTTTGTATTTTAAAACTGGATCTATTGATTACTAATTAGGTGCGACTGGTCTGACTAATTTTCAGTATCTAAGTTTAAATTTCGAAAAGAAGTTTTTGCACCTAGATCAATGAGTCATTTCGTTATACAGGTAGCGAATATTTAATTATCTTTATATTTGTAACAGTGGAAGTTTTTCCGCAGTTACAGATAAAGATAACTTGTTGTTCTTTCAATATAATGTTGAAGTTTTCTCTTTGGTAGTATCCCGAATACAAAATCTTCTGTGCGAACAATATTTTCGGGCGTTTATTGCACATGTATTTGATTTTTTTAATCCGGTTTAATATGAATTTGGTTATAGTGTAGTGCCGAACGATTTCTAGAGTACGACAAGCATTCTATTTAAAATTTACATAAATTTATTTAATTTATCTTTTTATTTGTTCTACACTGGTCTCACGGGTGCGCTAACTCCCTCTATACACTGTTACAACCACACAAGTACATTTATAGTAAAATTTAGTTTACCACAGACTATATAAGGTACACATTCGTATAATATGATTAGAGTATTGGCGTCAATAATACCAATGCGTCTTTAGTGTTAAATGGCTTGTATCGTCACAATACATGGACAGACAAACAAAATGGAAATAACTGACGTATCCATGCAGTAATCAATAATGTTGTTAGTTTGTTCTACTTTGTATTCAAAACGATAGGTTTTTGAACTGTTGATTCTAAAAACTTCATTTTTGTTAAAAAATTAATGCTAAGTGCACACTAGTGTAAAATTACCACCTGCATTTTATCATTCTTCTGTATAACATATTATATATCTTTGGTGTTTTACAGTAGGAGTGTGGACTTGACATTTACGATTTTCACTTCGCTTCTTTGTTTGAAAAGAGTTCCACTCCCACACTCCCCCCACCTAAACGTTTTCCATGTGTACTACTCGAATTATAGAAATAACATTTTATTACACATAATATGCAGAAAAAACTTGCAGCATTCATTTTCTTTGAGAATCATAATGTTGAATCTTATAGGATACCTATGAACTAAATAGGAACGTAGCCACTTTTTTCTGACACTAAAGGCGGGAGCAGTCATTCGATGATATTCCACCCTTAAAAAAATCACTTTTTTCCAAAATAAACGTAGCCTATGTATCGCCTTAGTACATCAGCTACCTGCTAATAAAAATAAAAGTCCTATCAAATTCGGATCAGCCATTTCAGACATCAAACAAACAAAATTTGTAAAAAAATATTTAGGTAGGTATGGGTATCGTATGTTCCTATATAGATATGCATAAAAAACGACTATTTTAATGTTACAAACAGACTTTTCAATTTTATTTATTAGTATTGTATAGATTAAGAATTAAGTAAAAAGTATGTTGATTGAAAAATCGACCCTTAATCTTCCATGACCACAATTTCGCGCACTATTGTTCCACTGCAAACAAGAACAGCATGAATTGTTTTTCCTTAGTAAAAAAATAAGTTTTTTTTTTTAATGATGACAGTTAGCATACAGATGTCTTGTTGGCAGTTGTTGGTTGTAGATAAGGTGGCAAGTACTGAAAAATAAAACAAACTGATAAATCTCAGAGGATCTAATTAATGTTGTTAATGAAGATATTTTTATAAAGGTCCGTGCAAAACAACTTCCTAATGGCCATGTCGAAGAAGTATAACACAAGACTTGGGTTAGTTGATAACAAAGGTTTTCGATTTTGAAAATTCTCTATAAGTAGTAAGGTCGAGTTTGAAATGGAGACCTGTAGGGATAATGATCCCTTTCACTGGAATACTTAGTCTATCTAATGTACAAAAAACGTCACCAACATAATATTATTATAATAATCAATCAAACAAATATTAAAATAATTCTGTCAAAAACCACGTTTAAAAATCCGAATTACCCCCCCCCCCTTTTGAAGTCAGTTCATTAATTTTTTTTGGGACAAGCCCGCCACATCCTCCCTAAACCGCTGCAACTCCTGTAAGCCAGGATAGGTTCATTAATATACTAAAAAAATATGTATTTCTCTTGGTCATAGATCTTGAATACGCTTGCTTCTTGCAATGACCATTGTTTTAAAATAAAAGGAAATAGACCCTTCTCCTAAATGTAACAAACACTTTCTGAAAACCATATCCAAATCGGTTCAGCCAATCGCGAGATAATCGTGCACAACCATACATACATACCTATGTACCTACATTGATACAGAACAAACTGACAACCTCTTGTATTTTTGAAGTCGATTAAAAAACGTTATTGTCAACCTATTGTGTCCGGTAATAGATGATAGGCTTGACTTCAATCATGTGACATATCGACGAAGTTTACAATGTATGACAACTTACTTCATTTTATATAATTGAAAACCATGTCATATGATCATTTGCTTGTAAGGCGTCACGTGAATTTAGCAATAAACAAAAAAACAAATACAATGAAATAATAATTAGGTAGTTATATAAACATAAAATTTAAATTTCTGCCCATACATTTATATAAAAAATGAACGATAATAACATTAAAGTATAGGTTCATTCCTTATAATTTTAAATAGCGACGCCTCCTAAAAATAGAACCTTACTGTTTAAACACTAAAACTCTTAACTCGTCGAGTACCGTCGTTATAGACACAATTATAGAACAATAGGTTGCGGGCACCGGTGACCGCTTGGTGTTTGACAGTTTAAAGCCTACATACATAAATTAAAATTTCTCTGTTATCATTTTCATTGAAACGTGACCGATTTTCGTGGCAGTAAAGGCCAACCTAAGCTATACCAACACAAGATACCCACTTACCCACTTAAAGTATTACACTGTCACTCTAGTTTCAGCACGGCACTTGTCACAGCACATACCTGCAATTAAAACGAACAATTAATAAATACTTCTAAGAAATCAATAAACCGCTCGATTCGTATTCGCGTACAATAAGACGTAGTGAATGGTGAAAGACGGGCAATCTCGCGTCTCCTTCCCGTATATTTGTGCAAGTCGCTGGTAGTGTGTTTACCTCCGGTTGTTCACACGACAAGATCAAACACACAGCCACCGTGGACAGAAGGTGACAGCGAAAAACAACGTCGGGCAAACGTTATCACACACAAGCCGGCGACAATCGAGCGACTTACCGTACTATTGTCAATAATAATGACCCTATGTGTTATTATTCAGCGTCAATCGTTTATCTCATTTATGTCTGGTTGCGAAGACTTAATAACAAATCAGTATCGCATACGCGTTAAAGGTGGCGTGGTGTTTGTGCCTACAGTGTCGTGCAGTTAAAATTCTCTAAAAGAAAGTCGTGCTAAACTAGACTGAAAGTGTATACAATGGAGTTTCAATATTACGGGAATTTTGACCGTCCTCCGACGCGCAGGATTCTTGACCAACCCTGGTGGGACGAGGAGGATACTTTGTCCGACAGACGCATTAACGGTAAGCGCCCGGCATCTAACTGTTTCAATACCTTATTCGTATATACAGCTGCAGCTGGTCAGCTACTCGAACCGCTTTACATTAAATTGAACAGAAAATATGTAGTTCAGCCATTATAAAGTTAATCTCATTTAATACTAGTGGCTTGGAACATGGTACGTGTTTTGTTTACAGTACGTTATCTCTCTCCAAAATTGGAGCACAATTAGGCTATACATCACACACTATCATACGAGAAAATAATACACGAATACGTAAACACGGAACGCGTATGTTGTACAGTCTGCTGCATTAATTGCACAAAATTGTAGTTGGCGGGAAAAGCATAATATTAGGTAGCGTGTAGGTATGGACATGCCTGTCTAGACGGCACAGGGAAGTGAGGGTCTATCGATTGGACGCCGGGATATATTTAGAAAAGGTCCTGCTTGGGAGGTTGCTGAGAGCCGCAGCCATGTGCACGGATTCACTTTACACGTCTACACTCCTGTGCACACACGGGAACTAAACCTTTCACAAAGGACGCAGAGATTATATACGATCCTCTTTTAATTGAAACTCGACACTTGTTCTTGTTACTAAATTTTTTGTACGTTATTAAACCGAAATATTTTCTGAATTGCGCACTATGCCTGAAATGCTCACCTTGTGACGAATAACTTTACTTTTGCTATCATAAACAAGTTATTACTTAAATAGCTTCACCACTAATTGAATTAAGTAGGAATTGTGATACGTTATCAGTTGAGGGCTGAGGGGAACCACTAAATGCCAATGTGGAATTGACGGAATTTCTCGCAAAACTAATGAGTACAAATATGCTATTAGATATTAATTGATAAATAATCTACTTATCGATTTACTGCATAACTTAAAAATCTATACATTTTTGATTGATTTTTGACATTCTATTGGAGTTCTATCAAAAAGCCCAGTGACATGATCATGCACATGGATAAAATGTAGCGATTTTGAATTCTTATTTCTACAATCGATCTGATTGATCGTGGGAATTGTTACATGAGAGATTAAGGGAGTAATTGGACCATTTGATTTCTATATAATCTAGGCAAAACTTATTGTATAATATTAAGTAAGTCGTTATGTGACAAAACTATACAACTTATAAGAAAATTTCCTCGTAAAATATCTCTTCAAGAAAAAGATACGGATTCTACAAGATATTTGTCATATTCTACACATATCAGGTATAGGGATAAAGTCTGTAAGGCTAATTTACAGTGAAATAAAAAGATAATACATAGATAATGAAGCGTTTGTTTATCTCTTTCATAATTGACAACCTAACAACGACCACTTCGTCATTAGACGTTCGTAAAGTGACTTGGTAAAACGTCTTGGGTCTTCACTTCTTTCATTTCCGTTCGGCCATCTCTTCATCTGTTTGTTATAAAAAATGTTATTAGTTTCTCGATATTATCAGTGAAAATATAATAAAGTGTTAAATTTAGCACTGGGCGGCCAACGCGGCCATCTTCGGTACGTATTTAAGTGTTATAGCAAAAATAAACGTTTTTTAAAAAGGGAAAACGGCGACTGTTTGAAGTTCATTTCACGCTGTAATGTTTAGTAAAACGTTTCTAGTTTTTATTTTTGTTTATTTTCGTAAAGCAATAAGATGTTTTGTTGCGTAAATACCTAGATGTTCAATCAGTGTAAGATTTAATTTTAACTTATCTCAATACCTTCATTATTTTAAAATTACAATAGTGTTTTGGTGTTCAATATGATTTTATTATTGTGTAACTAAGTGAAAGAAAATGTGATTTCTTTGTCCGATGTGTATCGTAAAAGAAGCGAGGGCTGTATTGTGCCATATGACAGTCGAGTAAAAACTATTTAGGTCAGTACGTTACCCCTGACGCTGCTAAGGGTTGGCGCCAATCAATCCTTTTCTCTCTTAACGAGTTTCTTGTTCGGTTTTAGAGAAAATGAGCATTTTTCTGTGTACGTTTCGTGTAGAAATATAATACTTATACTCATAATTTTTAAGTTTAACTCGTCGAGTACCGGTTTTGTAGACACAATTATAGAACAATAGGTTGCGGTCACCGGTGACCGCTTGGTGTTTGACAGTTTAAAAGTGCCTAATATTAATATGCAAAATCTGAGATATAGAAAAATAATTATATATCAGGTCATGAGACCAAAAAATCGAACACTTCAGGTCTAGGACTCTGTAAATACTTATTTAGTCAGTAAAATACTGAAGATTTTTGATAGCCACGATCTCCTGAAAAAAACTACATAACATAGTCTTATTTCATGCAAATTGCAACAATCGATACCTACAATTGATTTGACGGTTTCACAGGTGGAATATTTCGCACATCAGCAATCTATTATTAATGTGTCGTGCCTTGATTTGTAATCAATATCTAAAACTGTCATCAATGCAGTGAAAGCCAGTTACAGTACACTTACCTCTGTCAAAGACATTTTCTTTACACTTGCATTGTAATCCAAACTTTATGATATTCCCGAATATTTTTATGAAATCACACAACGATATAATCCAATATTCATTTCCAAAATCGAAGTTTCTGAACTAACTAAATTGAAATCGATTTCTAATATCGATTGGGATAATAGTATGTCAGTGGACAGTTCCCTAGTGGTACGATTTAATTTATTCCTTTGTGAGACGGCCGATGTGAGCAATGCCGGGTCAAGCTATATCTATGTACTTATGTATGTTCGTCGCAATAGCACAGAGGTTTTAATTGAAAAATGTCTGTTCAAACAAAACGGATTGAATTTCTATCACACTACTGCCAGCTAAGGTCCCTTTTAAACGTTAAAGGATATTTAATAATAGATGTTTATAGTCTGTGTTCTAAGTTGTCCTATTTAATTAAACGTTTTTTTTTCTTAACAAATGAGCAAATGTAGCAAAGGTTTTTTGTTATATCAGTGCATCTGTCTTAAAAATTGAATGACCACTAGTTGCCTCGGCAAACTTCATTCTGCCTAAAATTTATTTTCTTACCTTTTCAACCCTCTGGACTTCCACGAACTTTTCAAACACCAATATTTGCCAAAATCGGTTCAGAAGTGCTCGAGTTTTAGCGAACGGACATTCGTTTTATTTATATACCTCTAGATAGATTAATGTGACTCTATCTAATGTCCTATTGGATGAAAAGACGAGAGGTTCATACTAGCTCCACTTGGTGAGCAAAAAACGGAAGTCTCCTTGAAAAAAATACATAAGCAGTACGTAATGTTTTATAATTTTACAATATTTTACAATCTGTGGCTTCATGGAGGTTTGACTTCAGTCAAAAATCTACACAGAACGATTTAGGGGTACGATCAGTCATTGATATTGGCCCTTAGAAGGATCTGAATACCCTTGTAATATGTAGATGTGGTTTAACTCAATGGATAGATGTAAATATTCTAGTAGTAGTTAGTTTTTATGCAAAATGATCGTAAAGTAATTTAAATAAATGTTTATTTTGTTTACTTGTGTTATTACGACGTATTACAATTATAAATATAGGAACGTCTTCAGTCTGAGTGTCTTTGTTACGTTTTGTCACATTATGTAATTGTTAGTTGGATAGGTTAGATAAGGTAATCAAGTTTCCTTTTAAAACAACAAATATATATTAGAAGTTTATTACACATACCTATTTAAAAGGTATATATAAAGTCTGCACCGGTTCGATATGACTAAAAATTTAATTCTACATTCTACATCTATTGGTCTCTAATTCTAGTTCTGAATCTAATTGTGAACTAAACTAAATCTAATTCTAGATTCTTTGGTCCAATAGTTAGGGTCTAGAATAGGGTAGATGCCTAATTTTTATTTTAAACTGTCAAACACCAAGCGGTCACCGGTGACCGCAACCTATTGTTCTATAATTGTGTCTACAAAACCGGTACTCGACGAGTTAATGTCCGTCTGGTAGTTTATTTTAAATCATTACACACGTATTTTTTATTTTCTTACAGAAACGAATACTTTCGCCGATATAATTATTGATTTAAAATGTCGCGTGACGTCACTTCTATGTACATTTTATACGTAGAAATGACGTTTTAGCCCCCCACTTCTAAACTTTGATTCGTTTTATCCAAGTATTGTCTTATTATAAGACAAAATAAAAAATACGTGTCTAATATTTTTTCATTACCTTACTTACGGACTAATTATATTTTTAATTTTCATACCGTGTCATCAACCCAATTGTACCATATTTGTGTAAGTCTTTATTATGGTTAACACCTATTGCCAAATGGCGCTCGTAATACAACAGCTCACAAATGGGTTTTACATTTAATATGACGTGCATGTCTGCCTCTCCTTTTCAAAAGTAAAGCATAATGTTTAACTACGATTTCCGTAGTAAAATAATCCTATCGACAATGTTTGATGTTTAATTAACTTAAATGCACTTACAAAAAGGTTATCATTTTATCAGCACATTTATTAGTGCATTTGATCAGCGAACATCCATGCATCTCGTATCACAGATAACTATAGCCATTAATGAACCATAGACGCGTCATGTTGCTGTTATCTTAATGGCAGTTGATTCAGTTTTAATTTTATTTTTATTACTTTAGAAGTATTTTAATTTAATAGTTGTGCACAAACACCCGGAACAATTTTTGATATTTTCTAAAATCTGTTTTATCTGGGAATTACAGTTAATTTTATAATATTTATCCGAACCAGTGGTCGAAATATAACTTTCTATTTAATATTCCCACTTATGACTTGTAGGTACGTATACATACGTAGCAGTTAACAATTTTTTTATTAATAGTTTATGATTTATATCGAGAATTTAAAAAAGGAACATTCTCAGTTTGTTATAAACCAGTGAGTAAACTATTTTTTTCGCGCGAAAGCAACCGATATCTCGCGTATATTTGTTATTCTATTTTCAAAACTATTTGAAATATCGTTCAAATGTGGTAACGGTACTATTATTGCAACCTCCTTACTTTAGTGCTCATTAAAT